AAAAAAAAAACCCCAAAAACTGTGTACCCCACCAACAATCCCTCCAGAAAAGCCAGGATCGCTCTCCTGCTCCTCGTGCTACAAGCATTCGCTTGAAGAACCGCAGAGGCAGACCTGGAATAAGAGGGATTCATTTTTATGGCCGAGTGGCACATGATTTCTGTAGGTCAAACAGCCCCAGTTCAGCTTCCAGGTTGCTTGAAAACAGTTGGGGGGTATGCAATGTGAGAGTATTGCATTTTGAAGAATGCCCTGTGTTTCAAAGGGAGAGCAAGAGACTTTTTCAGGGGAAATATCCTGATTTCTGTTTTCTTTCTGCACCCCTGCTAGAAGAGGCAGGTATTCTGCATTTCACGGTCTCGTCTCCTTCGGTCTTATCCCCTCCAGGAGGGGAAGGGGGGGGAAGGAATGGGAACATGACATTTCTTCCTGGATAACCGCATCCCCTTTCATAGTGCCCCTCAGATTTGTAAGACATGCTTGACCAGACATGCCTCGGGAAAAGGTCAGCCCTTCTAGGATTAAGGAACTTAGCAACGCTCTGGAGAGGTAGTAGGGAAGTCATGTTTAATGATACTTTGCTGAGAAACATGGGTGAATTTAATTAAAACATCACTTACTGCAGCCCGGTGGAACTAATTGAGTGCTCTAATATTCTGACTTTTCATTAATGGGTTACAAAAGAGGGCCGCGATTGTGGGCTTGAGGGGGAAGGACATGGCGGTGGGGGGGGAAAGAGGGTGTTGGAAGAGAGTCTGGCCTTGCTATTTAATATAACTGAGGAACTTGCACTTAATTGTCGGCGAGGGAGCTTTACTGGGTCAACTTCCAACCCCCGCTGAAAGAATAGCTGAATGAGCTGCGGCAGATTTGGCAGAGGACGGGAAATTGCTTTTTTAATAAGTGGTCTATTCAGAGCTCATGCCTTGCAATAAAGAGGAGGCCGGAGAAGTCCTCAGCCTAATTACCTCATCTTCACACCAGACAAGCTTGCCCTTTCATGAGCGGCTGAGGTCATATCGAAAGCGCTTAGCGAGCCATCACGGGCACAACCGGGTCAGCGATCATTTCAGTGTTTGGGGCAAAGTTGCATCAACCCATGGGTGGGGGGAGACAAAATAAGGGGTGGAAGACTAAATAAAATTAGAGACTTCTAGCATGGAAAGATGCTCAAGCTAGGAAACCCTCTTTTGGAGAGGGACCAGCCAGAAACAGATCACTTGTGAGCCTCGTGAACCTATAGAGAAGTTGCCTTGTTGACCGGATGCTGCCAACTTGGCCAATGAAGCCTTGCCCCAACTCTGCTGGATCTCAGGGGACCCATCACATGTTCTGCTAGGCTGGGAGTAATGCTTCCTGACTTGTGAACATTGATTAAACGTGCTATGCTTTAAATGGGATACCCCTTGAACCTATGCTCTTTGGGGGAGACACCGGTGCTAAGCAAAGCTATTGGGGAAGGGAGTCTCCCCTTGGCTGTGCTTGGACCACCCCAAGGAAGGTTTTATAGGGCATCTACACCAGTTATTCAATAAATTGATGTCATACAATGAATGCAATCCTCTTCCCCAAGCATGGACAAGTGTTTCAAGTTAAAAAACAGGGTGGTACTTTGGTTAGTGTGAACAGGAAACCTAGGTTTAAGCTCCTCCTCTGCCAAAGGCTGCTTGTGTGACCTCTGTCAAGTCACTTAAGTGGTTTATACAACAGCTTCTCCCCTCCAAGATGGTAATAACAGCCCTCATGGGGATGATGGTACCATATGAACGTATAGCTATAAGGGATCTCAGGAGATCTCAACTGTTCCTCTGATCAAGGCACGATCATACTTGACCCCAACGAAATGCTGGCCTAATTAGGGATGGAGATTCAACCGCCTCTCTGGGTAGCCCATTCCCATCTTGACAACCCACGTAGTGAGGTACTTCTTCCTAATCTCCAGCCTCCATTTCCTCTGCTGCAGCTTGAGGCCATTGCTCCTAGTCCTGTCCACTGCAGCTACAAAAAGCAGCCCCATCTCCATCCCCTCTATAAGTCACCCTTCAGGTGTTGGAAGACTGAGCAGATATTATCAAATCCCTCTGGTCTTTTCTTCTCCAGAGAAAAATAACCCTAGTCCCTTCAGCCTTTCCTCAAGTCATGCTTTCCAGGCCTCTAATCATGTGTTGCTCTCTGCTGGACCCCCTCCAGTCTGTCCAACTCCTCCGTGACACGTAGGAAGGATGCTGTTGGCTTCTTTTGCAACCAGTACACAAGCTTTAAGCACTTCATGACAGTAAGACTAGATAAAATCTTTACAGTGGCATTTAAAGAATGGTCTATTGTAGTTTTGATTAATTTTTGACCAACAAAAGATGGGCCTTTCCATTCTTACGTCCCTATGTTAACTTTTTAATGTGGACCAGTAAGTCAAGACACGCTACATGTTGGCCTCCTTAGTTAATTCACTTTAATTAAAATTGGGACTCGAATGAGTTTTACAGCAGCCCTCTCTCAGACCTTTCAAATTAGCTTTTCATGCTACGGCACAGGTGGATGGTTTTGCAGTGCACAGAAGGAGGATTAATCAATGCCTAGCTTCTCCTGGTGTGGAGAGGAGAAAACAGGCCCAGTGTTCGAGCTGAACTGAACTGAACTGGTTACCCCCTCCCCTGTCACCTTCACTAAAAGCAATGCTAACAGGTGAAGAGCTCTGGATGGATCAATAAAAATGCAGGTTCTGATACTTCCCTCAACAAGCACAGCAATGGATATGAGCCCTATGACGGGCATGATTTTATCTGTACAGAAAGCAAGGACTTCAAGGAAAAGATAAGCATAGACCGAATAAGGAACGTTCTTTGTAATCAAAGCACAACTAATATAAAAGCCAAAGCCAATTACATTTAAACTTTTCATGCATGCAAAGGTCCCAAACTTTATCAGTTTAGATATGCTCTTACACAAGGCAGGTTTTGCAGGGCCTGGTCAGCCAATGTGGACAAAGATAGACTGAGCCAGATAGCAAGGGACCTGGCTCATTTCTCCCACCCACATATGAAGAGCGTGCTAGCCAGATGGGTTGATCCCAGGGTTACCTCCATCCTTGGGATTTTGAGAGCAGGTCAGACGCATGCTCTTCTGGAATAGTTTAGACAGGGATGACTGCCTCAAGCACAAGGCTGAACCAGACAACTCACTGAGGACTTTTCCAGTCCTCTGTTTCTATGATCCTATTTCATGATGGTTTGCCACCCTGGTGACACATGAAACACTCAAGCATACATACTTCAGATAGGTCTCTCTTCCTGGTGGCAAACCCCTGTTCTAAAGGATGCAGACATTGCACTGCAAAAGGTAGTCATGAAATAGCAGAGCTGGACAGTCGCATCCATTAAGTGCCTTCTATAAGATGCACCACTTGATTCTCCATGATTTGGCAAAGCATATTCAATACACTAGTATCTAAAGACTCCCATGCACTATGCAGCCAATGCATTTAGAACAAGAAGGTCCCTGGTCCCAGTCCTAGCTCAGGCTATAATACCCTAAAAGCTAGTGCGTATTTTTGAGATTAAAATCCATTGATGGATCATTTAAGCAGTCCTGCTCTCAGTAACTCAGGCCTATAGCTACAGGGATGAATGTATCCGAAAGCCAGCATATTATAACTTGGGAAACGAATGGATGGGAGAGAAAGGGCAGTTGCGAAGGGCTCTGGCATGGGGTCTTCACATGCATGGCTTAAAACAGAGCCAGACACTTATTCTGTATCTGCAGAGTGCCAGTGCCTCACGAGACCTCCCTTTCACCCATTTGCAGAAAAGGAGTATGCACGGAGCTGTGCCAGGTAATGCAGACAGACTCCTTGAACCTGGAGGCTTACAGAGAATGGATTTGTGCTGGCGTCTCGGAAATAACCAACACCGTGGGCAAGGGTTTGACGTGATGATTTTAGGGATATCTTCAGTTAACATCTGCCTACAAAACAGCAGACGGGTCTCAAAGGACTGGAAGGGGCCTCCTGGGGCAAGGCTCCAGATTTTTTTTTTTTCTTCCTTTTTTAAATGAAGGACAGGGAGATGGCAGGCACGGCCTCGCAGTTCTGCAGCTTGCAGTTGCAACACTGAGGGGCAACGGTGCCTTATTTAGTTCTGCTAGAACGACACAGCTGAGCAACAAAGACTAAAATCACAATACAAAATACAACCCCCCGCTCTCGGGCTGCTGCTTTGTGCACAACCCAAGGGAAGGGCTGCACCGCAGACTTCAGCTGCTCAGGGTCTGAAGTGTGTCCTTTCCATCTTGGGTGCAGGAGTGCTAGCAGCTATCCTCAGCGATCAGCTAAACCCCATGCTTTTTTTCACTCTGAACTAGGACAGTGGGGTGCTGTGCTCGTACGTGCCGACAGGCAAAAGACAGGCACGAACAGATCACCTTGCTCTGTCGCATGTATGAAAAAATGAACCGTTCCTCATGCAAACAGAGTCGGCGGCAGCGATTCCTAGAATGCAACCGGCCCGGCAGCATCAGACCGGGAAACTGGAGCCCCAGGTCCTAAAAATCGCAGCCCAGCCCTTATATCCAATCACACGGACAATAACAAGGATTAAATACTATTTATAGGCTTACAGTATGTCCTAGTTCTAGGTTTGCACAGTGAAACGCTGATCCGAGGCACCTGCGCCAGCCAATCTGAGTGGTTTTAGTGCAGGGCAAGTGAGGAGTGCCAAACAAAGCAGAGAGCTGAAGGTGGAAAGCTTCCCTTCAGAGCTCTGGATAAAAGCCCTGCCCTTTCTCATCTCACACACCATGGCAAAAAATCCCACAGCGAAGGAGGCGTGTTTGAGTCACGGAGGACAGGAGGAGGAAGAAGGAAGGGACACCTGGACGTCACCCTCTCAGAGTCAGACCAAGCTCCAGATAGATGAAAAGCAAAGCAAAATTCAGCCGTGACACCCCCTGCCACTACACACCCTACTGACACGGGGCCCGAAGTCCATCTAGGACCAGGGACTCACCTTCATGCCCACGAGGTTGTTGTGAAAGTCCACCCTGGCTCGCAGGTCCTTGATGGATTTCTTCCCCAGAAACTCCTTGACGAACTTATTGCTGTACTTGAGGTTGTCGCCACAGCCGCCCCACTGCCAGGCCTCCCTGTTCTCCAGGTCAGGGGCTTCATCGCAGGTGCAACGCTCCATACGCCCAGCGCTGCAGGCTTTGGCCATGGCATGGGTGAGCCCTGCTGAGGAAATGGCATAGAGGAAGGCTGTTTCCTTAAAACCTAGGAGAGAGCCAAAAGGACACCATTACCTGGGGCTCAGCAAAACAAGTTGTACTCTATGTGCGGGCTACACTGCAACGAGCAGCTGAACTGGAAGGAACAAGTTGTGCCAAAACCGCCTGTTGAACTCTGTGGGATGACGTAGTAGAGAATGCAATGAAGGGAACCTCATTCCCTTGGCAGGGCAGCAGTAAGCTGAAGCTCTCCACAAGTATGTGGCAAGGTCTGTGGGGCTGATCGAGGGGAAAAAGTGGTCCCAGTGGTGTGCGTGGATCTGCCAAGACCATCCTGCTTCCAATCGAGCAGAGTGCTACCTTCATCTCAGAGATGAGGCCAGCCAGGACTTCAAAGCCACCACCGACGGGTGTACTACAGCCTCGAGCAGCTAAAGGGTTACAAAGGAGGGGAAAAAAAACCCCCAAAGATGCCTGCTCCAGAAGCATGAAGTCTTGATGGCCAGTGCTGAAGAAAACTAAGCAAGCCAGGCTGAGCAAAACAATGTGCAAAAACAGGCGGTTAACTGCATCCTCTGGAAACCTCAAATTTACCAAGCTAATTCTCTCTCTCACACACACACATGTGAGACTGAGACCATTTCCACTTTATTGGAAAATAAACCGAAGCAAAAGCTAGAGTGGTTTGCATTAAGGTTATACAAGGAGCCAATGATGGAGCAATTCCTGCACGGTTGTGTAGTTGAGATCAGATTCCAGTCTGGACTTCACTCGAGAAACACCCCCAGGCCCAAAGTCACGCAAGCCAATTGCGATAGGGGTGGATGCATCTGTAAAGCCAGTCCACCGCCCCAGATTACACCAAACTGTTGCAAGACCATTCCTGGAACCGCTACTGGGACGGTTCATGCCGAGTGATCACAGGGCACTGCACCGTCCTGATTATTGTTCCAGCATCATCGTGTTGCTTTCTGGCACCTGGCACTAAAAATGAGATGGGCGAGACAGGCTGGACATCGCTCTGCATGGCCTCCAAAAGGTGAGGCCAAGGTCTGAGCAGGGAGAATTTCCCCCCCTGCTACCAATTCAGGAAACACCTACTGAAAACTGCATCCTTCACTCGAAGCACGGCAGTGGCAGGGGTAGTCGCTGGATGATCTTAGTACCAGCCCAGCCCCAGCATGGGTATATTCTGAATATCCAATACCCAAGGGGGGCATGGCTACAGGCATCTGACACCCTATCCCACATAAGGGGCCATACAACCCCATTACCCGTCATCTCACAGTGGCCAATTTAACCCATTGCAGGTGCAGGCTCCATCAGATCACGGCAGGGGCGTCTGGCTGCTGCCAAGAGAACACAATTTGCTGGACACCTGACAGAAGGTAACATAGAAATGGGTTCAACTCCACACTGGCTCATAACATCTGCTCCGCACCAGAAGGCAGGAAGGATTTAAGGGAATGATCTGGTTCATCTGGGATCACCGAGTACAAGAGGCACGGTTGCTCTTTTTGGCCTCACAAGAGAGCCTTTTTCCAGGGTTATCCTGTACTTCCATGCCTGTCTTTTCATTGTGTATGCAGAATACAAGCTTTGCATATAGGAAATTAATTTTGGGGGGAATGATCATTTGTCTAGGCTATGCCAGGTGCTAACCAGACTGCGTGGGTACCACTGCCCTCCCCTGGACAGATGTCAGAACTGCTCCACTATGCATCATGGGCTCTGTACTGCTCCAAGCGATGCTCCAGGGCTCTTGGAATAGGATGGCCCAGTCTTGTCGCTGTCCCCAAAAAAAGGAAGGAAGTACGTTCTGTGGTTAGAGATCCCAAAGGAAAAACGTCACTTACGAGCAATGCCAAAACCAGCTATCAATTGACCTGTTAAGAAAGCAACCATCGTTTTCTCCTTGGTCTCATCAATAAGATGCTGAATACCTTCTGCACGCGACAAGCCCAGCATTAAAAATAATAATAATACAAACAGACATGCATCAAAGGCTGCATGGTCAGAGATGCATGTGGAGAGAATGGATCCACTCTGGTGGCATGCTGCCACTACAGGGCTTTGGTGGCAAAATGCATTTGTTCAAGTATTAAAAAAAAAAAAAAAAAAAAAAATAATAATACCAGGAACTTGTTCTCTCTGTAGAGGATTTCATAACCACCCCACTAGATATAAAAAGCTTATTCTGCTCTTCTCCATCCTTCATTCCCCATGCCCATCAACCAAGGTATCAACTCGCTCGCAGGCAGCTCACACGTTTCACCCAAGTTCATGTGACATTTGGCTCTGGCCAGAATTAAAGCCATCTCCATGGTGCACTATTTGATTGCACCGAGATATTTTGTAACAAGATAATGAGCTCTAAATCAATGCAGGCATTCTAACCTCAGGTGCCTAGGGAGCCTGCCATCCAGAGCTATCCAGTTTCAGCCATTTCCAGAATCACATGCAAGTCTCCAAAGAGGGAATCCAAAGAGAATAATAAATCCTTTAACTGCACATTTGTTATTTTAAGAAATGGACCACTTAACTGGAAGTTGCAACCCAGCGATCGAGCAGTTTTCTGGTGACTGAACATAAAGGTACAGAGGAAGAGTGGGGGGGTGGAAAAAAAAAAGGAGGCAAGTCAGCTGCTCTCCTCCTGGAAAGGGCATGCTAAGTCTTAAAGGATGAAAAAAAACACACTCCAGCTTGCCGGGGTTTTAACTACAGCAGGCACGTGCCCCTTTGCCCCGAGGCACAGCTTGCTGCAATGCCGAGACAGGAACCAGCAACTCCCCGTGCGGAGGAGTGAAAGATTCAAGGGGAGTGTGTTGTGCTAGAGGCACATCTGCAAGATTAACAGCGTCTGTGAAGGGTACAGACGAGCGCGGAGAAATAAAACATGGAACAATGAGACAGCGGGCAGACTACTGCAGCCTTTGGCGGGGTCATTTATTACACGGTGCCTTTTCTTGCAGAAGCAGATAATGCATTCTGCCTTGTCACCGGGACCTGGATATAGTACAAGCTACCCATCCGGACAGCTCTCCGCCTGAAGGAGCAGACTGTGATCTCTGGGTGTCAGTATGAGAAAGCCCATTAGTCAGGGGTACCTCTGGCCGGCAGACTGTATTATGGGTCCAAGCTGAACTGTGCAGACTTCCTTTGCTCCCTACCATCACTGACACCGCATCAGTTTAGACAGCTGTGCGTGACTAATTTTGTGCTGGAGGAAGCTTACCGGAAGAGAAGTATGGACTAACAGTTGGAGCAGAGTCACAAGTTAAGACTCCTAAGCTTCAACTCCCAATTGTGTGGCCTTTCACTCACCCATTTTACAGGCAAGCAAATTGAAGCACCAGAGGGAGTAAACGCAACCAACCGCTTCTATAGCTTCCTGGGTGGTAGAGAGTTTAGAAAGCATGGGTTTGGCTTTCCCCACTCTTCACCCAGAAAAAACCCCCTCAGATTACGATAATTTTCGACTAGAAACACTAGAACTCGGGTTAGGTTAGCTTCACTTGTGAAGCGACGCAGGGATGGACTTGGTTTCCTCCCTTCCTACAAGGTAGATTAACTCCCAGTGAACTATCTCCCTCGTTGTGCAGCAGCAGGGCACCGGCAGTGCCCTCGTCTCCCTTGCTCCGAGCAATACAGAGCATGCAACGGTATTCCTCATTGCAGGAAAGGGTTTGAAATGAAGACTCCTTTGGTGACAACGGCCTGTTAACACAGGGGACTAGAGGCAGCGACTCAGAAGGCTGCTTTCGGTCAACTCTGATGATTTAGCATGAAATCATTGATAACTCTTTGCATTGATAACTCTTTGCAACTCAACCTACCAGTCCGTGGCCGTAGGCCCCCGATGCCCTGGGCTTACCTCTCTTCAGCAGGCTGGCCCTGTAGCGCCCCTCGAGCGTGCAGTTCCACCGTTCGAAGCGGAACTGGTACTGGCACTCCAGGGCACTCATGCTGATGGCCTCCACGAGGGTCTCGGCCACCCCAGGGTCCCGCCGACACATCCTGCGCTGCTTTTTCTCCAGCTTCAGGCGGTCGCACACTTTGTAGTGGGCCTTGACGGCAGCTTCCTCCATTTCTGAGGTCAGAGGGAGGATGGTCAGGGGTTCATTCCCAGTCAGCCTGCAAAAGGAATAGGGCATGGGGGGGAAAAGGGGAAGAAAGGAGAGATCTAGTCAGCGCAAGCAAAGTGGCTATCCCCATTCACACGTTCTACCACATCAAGCTGATGCCAAAAGCAGAGATCTGGGGAGCTTTTCTGCATAGGGAACAACCCAGGATATATACAGCTCCCTATATCTATTGCTTAACCCAGGACTTCATAAACCACAGCCTCAGGCAACACTGCCAAGAGACTTCGGTTAGAAAGAAATGAACTTGGGGGGGCGGAAGACCTAGAAATATTTGGAAGCTTTAGAGAAATACGTGTCCCACCCCCCCCTTCCCCTCTCCAGCCTCCTCCAAAACACAAGGTCCTTGACTCGTACAATGTGCAATAAGAGCAGCCAGCATACTGTTCCTGGTGTCGAGTGACGGGCTGCTGGACACCACCCAGGCTGGCATCGGCCCCAGGGAGTAAAGAAGCGGCAAGGAACATCTGCTGGAGGCATGAGCCGTTCGTTGGCTCCGCTGCCCGTACCCCACTCTCCTGGCTCTGCCCTCTTCCGGCCAGGTGCCAGTGCAGTCAGTCAATGGGAATCACTATATAGGGTTTCGAGGGACCTGAAGATACATTTCCCCAGCCAAAAAGGAAGAATTGCTCAAGCCAGAATTCAAAACATGCTGGAACATTTCAGCCCTGGGCGGACGCGCGCAGAGCCAGTGCGGGGCTGGGCGTGCGGCGTCTCCAAGATGCACACTTGGCAGCTTTCAGCGCTTGCAGAGACTGCCTGCAGGTCACAGAAAAAAAGGTGCAGGGTGCAGGATGGAGAAGAGGGAGGAAAAAATAAATAAATAAGAAGCCCCCTTCTTTTCCCTTTTTTTTAAATGAAACACTAGTCAGGT